AAAGATTAGAATGATGTATATTAATTAGTGTACACCTAATTATATATCTGTCATGATCAAACTTTTCCGACAATTAATTTTCCTGTGAAACAACGCAATATTATTCTGTATAATGTTGACAATATCGTATGCCATTCTTTTTCAGCAGTGTGATGCCATCAATTTAATATCGAGCGTTCGGTTGTCCATTTTCAAGATTGATCATAAGCAGCGGTACAAGGGAATGTCATTTATGTGACAATCTTTAATACGTAGAAGCAAATTAAGTGTTTGTTGTTGCTAGAATGAATGACAGAATAAGATACTTTAGCTGGATAGGTAATAACAGTTTTTGACACAACATACGCTTGATCATTGAATACTTAGCAAACAAGAGCAATGGGATATGATAGGTTCTCTTAGCTTTGTCATTTTGATTCAAGCTCACTTATAGATCAGCTCTCACCCAATTTAGCAGCAGTGGAAATGTTACAGTTGTGTATATTTTTTTGGCAATAAAATATGAATAAAATACAAATTAACCTGCAACTTATCCATCACCATTCCAGTAGGCCTATCACATAGGCCTAACTGCTTTGCTTTGGGAAAATTATACCACTAACTAAACGGAATGTCTAAGCACAATGGAATAAGCCTACTAGGCCTATACAGTAGTATAAATTATCACTTTCCCGCATTTAATATATATTTTGATTTGTTAACACTATGTCACTCAACACTCCAATTCCGAATTGGTTTTGACACAGGTTTCTTGTAATTATTAGCCTAATATATATTATAAGTCAATCGTGACGTCATCACTGCAACTCCCAATGCTATTTGCTTATTCCCACAGTCCAATAATTTTTCAATAGTGGACGCTTAGCTTGATTTTTTTAGGTTCGTGTGCGAAAAAAAAAATCTCATTTCGTCACCGCGAAGACATCGAACACCGCGATAAATACTTTTGTAATTGAAAATTACTTTCGTAAAACAAACAACAACACTTACGAATGCCTGTCATGAATTTTGTCTATTCACTTGTGCTGTTCTTAGTGCGGTGCGTATTTCCCCGGTATTTCCAGATCATATTGAGTAAAAACGCAATTATTTGTACATTTCGTAACCATATCAGTAACCACTCCATCGATTTTATGGGTGCAACGGTTATCAGAGGCTAAATTTATTAAACAATTGTTTTATATACAGCCGTTAACACAGATAGGTCTGTCTATTTCAACTTATAGTAAATCACATTTTATGTTAATAAAAATGCTAACTAATGTGTGCATCGCCTTAGTCCTGTTTGACCGTAAATTAGACGGCAGTATTTCCACTCACATTAGTGTAGTCACAATACTACCTGCACAAAAATGAAATTCAAAAAGAGGAGAAAAGGAAAAACCACTCTTGATTGATGTTAAAAGTACTGTACAAAGAGACTATTTCTAACCTTAATAATTTTGCATTCTAAAAACTACAATTTGATTCTTGAAAATTGACCAACAAAATGAAAAGTTATAGCAAATGAAAATTTACGATTTTTATAAATATTCTTGTTCTTATATAACTTTAAACTGTGATTTTGACAATGCTGGACTAAGGTGCACAAAATGAAATTTAAGTAGGCCCTAAATATACAGCAAATTTTTTCTGCGAAGTGAGTCTCATGAACCACCGGACACCATCGGATTTCGAAATTTGTATATGCAAAGAGACTATAGCAGGGGTTCTCAACTGGCGGCCTGCGGTCGATCCATCTCTGGTCCTCGAGAACAAGCCAAAAATAATAGTTTCCGTTAGGCTTGGGCTTAGATTTCTAACCTTAATAATTTGGCATTCTGTTTTGCCGACTAGGTCTATGTATTGCCCACAAATTGTAGCAATTTAATCAATCAAATCAGAAAAACTATAGCAGCAAACAGCAAAGAAATATTACCGATGACCCATTGTGTGATAGGCCTATAACATTGACTTTTGATTTACCAAACACAAGGGTAACTTTCTTAGGCCAAGATGTCCTGTATGAGCGTCTAGCGGCTTATTACTTTCAAATAATTTTTAATTCGTGAAGGGGGCCAACCCTCCCAAACCCTCCCTCGGCTCGCACTTGCGGCGCTCCGATGGCGCTCCACGCCACAGTACACCTCTTTTCCTGAGCCTTCCAATGTATTCCAGGAACAATTTTGGCCCCTATTGCGATATAGTTGAGAACCACTGGACTATAGAATTGGAGTGACATAAGGAATGAGGTTTATCATTTGCTTTTCATGGTTCGAATACGTCACAAGCTCAGTAGATAATAAATCATTAGTTTTATGTTTTATGTTTAATGTTAGTTTGCACGAAATATGTAAGCGGGCATGATTATGATTACCAGGATAAATTGAAAAAAACAAAACAATGATAGGTATTTTAATGGCAGATTCAAGGGGGCCCAGCCGGCCCACCCTCCCTAATTTGTTTCAAAATTTAAAAGTAGAGAAAAAAGAATTATATCCAAATTGAGTCTGAGCAGGGAACAGTTAAATTAGGCCTACTAGTTTAACTGTTCCCTTGTCTGAGAGTGCCATTTCCGGCCAACTAGAG